TCCGATCTCCCCAAAACCCCAAAACCCCAAAACCCCATAAATATTTATATAGATCAAATTTAAAGTTAGTAAATAATAATAATTCACAAATATTTCATAATCATAGAGTATAGATAAGTATCATGAGTCAGCTAAAACTTCATTTTTAGTTTGTTATAATTCAAACCTCTTCTCCATTAACTCATCTAGAATCCACAAAGTTCCATATGTATTATTAAGGTTAGCTTGCTGATATTCTTATTCTTGGACTTAAGGTTATTCAATTTTAATCTCAAGATTAATAGCAGCGCTTTCACTTTCATTGTCAGTGCTTATTTCATTAATTTCCTTTAAAAAAGATTTCAAAGATTAATACGAGTCCTTAACTATATCACTCGGTCTCACATTTCTAGCCACATTAGTTTCAATTCTTTTCTCAGTTAATACCAAGGTTTACTGCTTTTACTTCTTATCCATAGGTTATCTCCCAAGATTCACTCTATTTGGACTTCTACCTAGCTGCTTAGCAGGGCTTTTGATTTATTTAGTTTGAGCAACTATTTAGCTTTGATTCAGTAGTTATTTTAAATCTTTTGAAGCTGACTTAGTAATTTAATTTTCATTATTATTTTAGTTTTTATTATTTTTTGCTGGGCTTTTCATATTTTTGAGAGTATTTTGCTTAGGACTTTTAGGTTGTTTTTAGGTCAATAATTCCTGCAGATTTTTCTCCAGGTTGATTTTGTTTTGCCTGAAGTTTTAAATGACATCATTTGATTTTAATTGCCTGTTCATTGATGAGTTTCTTTGCTTGGAGTTAGATCTAGTTTACTCAAGTATTTTATCTATGAAAGTTTGGTTACCAGGCTCAGTAAGTTAAGTGCTCTTTTGAGAATGAGCAATAAGTCCTTAATAGTTTCCTCCCTTATTATTAGTCAAGTACTTACTAAATTAGTTCTTCTTGTTTTCCTTTGCTGCTGACTAGCCGCTCTTTTTATTTGTTTTGTACTTGGTCTGCAGTCCATTCAAATAAGAAGATTTATTGAAGCTGCTGTTCAGGTCTACTTCAGATTCAACAAAAGTCTAGGAAAGTGTATTACTTTCAAGGCCAATGATGCTCAAATTACGACTCTTGAATTTCTTTGCTGAATTGCCTGTACAAGTTTGAGATAGGAAGTTTTTAATTTATGATTGAGCTCTATTTTTCGAAGATTATACAACTTTGTTCTAAATCTATGCTCTTTCTGGTGTCTCTTTTGTCAAAAACTATTGAGTATTTTTGATCGGACTTTTAAGCGAAAAATTCATACGTTTAGGAGGCGAGTGAGTTTGCCTCTGCTTCTATTTTTAACTGCTACTAATTAGCACTGGATTTATAATCTTCACCTTTTAGTTTTTGGCATTAGTTGGAGATTTTACTGGACTGCGAATATTATTTATATTTTGACTGCTGTTTAATTGAGGTAAACATTTTTATAATTTAATAAGTTGAATTTCAGGTACCATTATCTTAACTGGAACATCTTTCTCTTATGTCTGAGTCATAGGTGTTACATTTTATTACACTGCTCTGATTTATTCTTTTCTAAAACCGGTTATCTGAGTTACAAGATCAGTCATTAAGGAATTTCTGAGAACTTTGGTGTACATTTCGCATAATTCCAATAACTTATCTTGAGTTTTAGATTTCTACTCAGCCTCAATATTCGATGTTTTCAAGTGCTTTTCGATTTCTATATAATTAAATGTTGAGGGATCTGGTATTTTATTACCTTCGACTTGCTGCAGGAAGTCTAAGTCTCTCTAGTCCTTCAAATCAAATTTATCAAATGCTCGTTCACAAATAAAGATCTTCATTTCTCGCTAATTTCCTATCTTTTCACTCATGGGGTTTTGGGGTTTTGGGG